GGGGATTCATAACATTTATACACTCCACACAATAAACATATTATATGTAATTTATATGCAAAATTATAGATGGTAGTCTACCTAGTAAAGTTTGGAGCAAAATTGGAAGAGAAAAACGTACTATTAACATTTGTCTTTTAAAATAATAGGCTACAGAACTGAAACTTTTTTGATCCCACTGAAATATTTAAATATACATAGTTAAATAATCAATTATATCATCTCTAAGATGTAGTGCTGTGACAACTAAAATTCACCACAAATGACATATATCAGAACTTTTATTTATTCCAACTTCCTTAGTCTCACTTCTATAAATTTCAATATCAGAAACTGAGACTGTTATTCATAAGTTCTTTTTGAAAGCATTTTTAAAAACTGTTTTGTGTGATTTTTTTTTCTTCCTCACGGTGTTTTGAAATTGATTTTGCACAAGCAAGATTTTTTTTTTTTTTTAAGCAAGACTTTTATCTCCAGTTCTGTCAGGTATAAAAGTTAGACTAAGAGGTCAGTAATTCTCAGGTAGTTTCTAACTCACTTTTTAAATCAGTAATTCTCTGGTAATTTCTAACTCACTTTCTAAATCACTATATTGTTCTAAGCTGCTTAGTTCGCTGTCTGCACAGTACAGTTTCTTTCTGTTCTCAATGCAGCTGAGGGGCAGGAGGAACAAACTACCAAAATGGCATAAAGGTTAAGATGGTTTGAATCAAACCTAATTGGCACTTCACATGACACTTTAAAGACATTAAGTATTTCGAAGTCATTAAAAAGTTGTTATTATTGTACAAGTCATTAAAAAAAATTACCGATTGGGCTATTAACTCCTCAGTATGAATTTCCTTTGAACAAGTAATTCCCAGTGATGTTCTTACACTTTCATACTGTAATTAGAATAAGTAAAATTTTATAAATATAAAACAATAGAACAATTAATAGAACAATTGTGGGGTATTTTGTGAAATTATTCCTTCTTAGGGTTATATATTTCAACTCACGATTCATGAGAATCATGCTTTTCCTTCTTATATGCATTATTCTTTTGCCTGATAAAGGATGCATTGAACAAACTTGTTAATTTTGTAAGAAAATTTGTAATCTTTCATACAGTCTGTAATCCTCACTTAATGTCTTTAAAGTATTAAATCCTATCAGTATTTTCTTTCCTTTAAATATATTCCCACTGAATTGCAGAATGGTATGTTCCTTATTTTCATTTCAAATACTTCCTCTGTTCCAGATCCATCAGCTAGTAATTGAGTATTCAACATAGCACAGATGTGATGTGTACCAGAATGCATTCAAGAAAGGATCAAACCAGGAGGCTGCCAGTTTGCAGCTGGACTTTAACCTGCCTGCTTTTAATAATCTTGAATACAGATTCTAATTTATAGGCTTGGAATGAATATATATATATATATATTTTTAAAGATTTATTTATTTGTGCATACAGAACTGGAGTACAGGCCAGAGGTTCAGGGGCAGTGAGAGGCTTCACCAGAGACAGAGTGGGGAACAGAACAGGCAGATAGACGAAGTACACTGCTGAGGGGAGTAAGGGGTGGGTCAGGAGAGGTCTGCCACACCATGTAGTCACCTCCAGGGCAGGCGGGAATCGAACTCATGCGGAAGCGGCTTTAGATTCTCAGTGCTGTGCTTTAACCCGCTGCGCCAACAGGGAGGACACTAGAATGAATATTTTTAAATATCCCTCATTGCTCCCTTGTGCTTTAAATGCTCACTGACCTGTGAAGACAGCTGAGTAGATAAATAAACTTATACTTAGACCTAGCAAATCTGAGGGATGTTAGAAACAGATAATCTTTATTAGAAAAAGATTTATATTACATTATGTATTGATCTAACTTTTTAGCTAAGAAGTCGGACATATAAGGTGACTTCCACTTCTTTGCTATGAATGAAATGTGATACAATTTTAATGTATATCTTCACCTGCTTACTTTTCCACCCCCCAATTTCACATTTGCTGGTAGTTGCATTAGCTACACTAAACTTTCACCTCAGAAGGCAAAACATTGATTATGAATGAAGAAAGAACCAATAGACACAGGGAGAAGGGCCATAAGAAGCAAGATATCACTTCCTGCTATTCCAGTTCATTCTGTGTGTTCTCTTCTCTGGGACTTCCTTAAAGAGAGTGGTCAGTCATGTCTCAGGTTGCCACAAAAAGCAAGGAACATAAGTGGTGAATTAGAGGCAATTAGAAGCCAGAGATGACCTTGTGAAATCAGGTCCTATAAAGAGGTAAGGACATAATTCACATGTTTGCTGTGTAAGCAGTGAAGAGGAGATAGTGGAAAGTGATGGAGGTGGAAAATAGTCAAGGTAGACTAATCCATCAAGAAGCTTAGCAGCCATGGCAAGAAGCTATGTACTTCCAGACTCTTACCAGGGAGCCTCCTAGTTTTGTAGTTTCATAGTGCAGTGAACAAACATAAGCAGAAATCTAGTGCCCACTCTTTTTTATTCTTTGAAATACCTAATAACATAATACACACCTGACACTTGATAAGCCTAACAAATGTTCCTTGAATACATGGAAGAAAAAATATAAATACAAAAGAAGGAAGGATATTTTTTACAGAATCTAGTGATAAAACATAAAGAGAAAACATGTTAATATTTTGAAGATTAAACTATTCAATTTTATTTTGAGAATTAGGCTGAGTCAGAAGGAAGCAAAATGATGATGATGATAACAATGATAAGGAATTACAGAGACAACAACAAAGTCTTGTGCTGGGATAAAGCTTTAAAGACCTTTTTTCCCCCCTCACATTCACTGTCTATTTCTCTATGAAAGTGAACCACAGGGTATTTAGGAAAGAATTGTAACTTGAAGAATTGTAACTTGAAGAACACTACAAGAGAGGCTTAAAATTACAATAAAATGTAGGGAAACTTGTTAAAATAATATAGATTTCAAATAAAATAGATTTCTTAATGTTGAGAAGTCAAAACAGAAAGACTGAATTAAGACCAAGGAAAAACCCTGGGATCTAATTAGAGAAAGTGAAGTATACCATATATAACCTATTTTATCACAATTACAAGTTAGTCTTAGCTTTATAGAGCTTTACGTAACATTCTAGTCTCCTTACTGAAATATGGACTAGCAAGGAGGAATAATTCAGAGAGGAAGAATTCAGAGAGGAGCTATAAGGATTATTTAAAACTAAAGAAGTAAGTCCTACTATGAAATGTCCAAAGAACTGAACTTTTGGCAAGTCCTTATTCAGTTTCAGAATTCATAATGATCAAATAATGGAACAATCTGAGGAAAAGGCTGATTCCAATAATTCCAATTACAATCATCTTACATAATTACCTTAAATAACTATATATGATCTTATAAAAGAAACACCCAAACTTGGCTGTGGTTGCAAGATCTTTATCAAATGTTCCTTGGTTAGCCTAATTCAGCTCCCTTGGAAGAAGTGTTCCAAGAAAATTTTGCAGTAGCTAATGATGACTTTTTACTGTGAACAGAATGAAAAGAAATAAACCAACTCACTTAGGCCAAGTAAGCAACTAAGTCAAGTTTAAATAAAGGTTGTCAAAAGGAGTTATGGAGTCTACTCTACAGAGTTTTAAAAACAGGCCAGGAGCTCATCAATCTGGGATGGGTTCAGCCTGCAGAGTAGCTAGAGGGCAACCACGTCCCTCTGAAGTTCCCACCCCCTCTACCGGCTAAGATGATATCCACTGAGGCCCTGTTATACAGTAAACTGAGAATAAGCCAAGCTCATTTCTAACTCGGTACTTTCCGACCACATAGAAAATATAAGTGAGGGTGAGATCAAAACTTTTACTGAACCACACTCTTGGCATTACCAAGACTGGGTGCCACAACTACTAACACCATCAGCAGAGAGGCAAGTGGGATACTAGCTAGTACTGAGTGATAATAATCTGTTGGATTTCATGTATTTGTTGCTCTGTATGTGAGAGAGGAATGGGAAGAGAAGGGTGGGGAACAGAGAATAAAATAACTAGTGAAGAAAAGACATTCATGTTCTTTTGTGGTTGAGTTCTAAGGTTAAGCACTTGATTCTGATAGTAGATTCTAATATTTCACATTTGAATTTTTGGTCTGAGTTCTAGCCAGAGTTGTCTGTTGCTAAGCAGATGAAGGTTTCCTCTTAGAAAATGAGCTCTGTTCCAGCCCCCTAAAACTACTGCATATAATGGCTGTTTTCTCACCAGAGCTGAAGAGAAAGCAGAGCTGACAGGCACAGTCAGAGTTAGCTTTAAATATCATGCACCCCATCATTTGGTGGGTGGGTGTTGTCGCTAACTGTGCTTCCTTTTCAACAAAGAAAGTAGTGAGCTGCCAAAAACCAAGGATGTTCCATCTTAAGGAATATGCTGAATTCTTTCCAGAGGAACACTTTTTTTAAAGATGAATTTTATCCTAAAATATTTTTTCAAATGTATTTAGGCACTCTATCCAAGGAAAATAATTTAAGCACTATGTCATGCCTGCCAAGACATTTACACAGACTGGCCAGAGGAGACCCTGGACCTGCAGTCGAGTGAATGTCCAAACAGGTGGTAAAATACAATTTTGTTCTTTTTTAATTGTTCTTTCTACTTTGCTTCCCATAATCACTGCTTTTTGGAAAGGTCCATTTCATTTTCTTGAGGAAAAGGAGTCTTTTCTTCATCTCCCAATGCTAAGTTGATGTCCTGCCCTACAAGTATTCCCATTAATTAAGTTGGTCTGAAGGTCATAAACCATAATCAATATGGAGGGTGGTTGCTGCATGGTGCTAACTGACATTCCTAAAGAGGAGCAGTGTCAACAATCAATGGAGAAGAACAGAGCCCTGGGAGATTTATGGCTTTGATTTAGAAAAGGTATGGGAATGCCCTGTGATGTTTTCCCCGTACTCCTTTTGAATGTTAATGCTTTCTTGAAGATGATTTCAGACTCACAGCTAGGATACTGCCTCTACTCACTGAAGCAAAATCCTCAGAAGAGTTGCTGAGGCAGAACTGAAATCATGTCTTGCCTCAGAGAAGCAGTCGTATTGGCTGCTAACGATGCCTCACACAGAAAGACGATGCTCCTTTAACTCGGGGGTTTTCATGGGAAGTTTCTAAGCTTGAAACAACAGCGTTAGATCTGGGGTGTGCCATCAGCTGCTTGCAGCTACCACTGTCTACTGCTTTAACACAGCTTGGTCGGGAAGAATGGAAACTAAAGAAGCTTATAACTACCTGTAACTATTCCACCAGGAAATGGATCAAGTGTTTGTTCAGCCAGATCCAGGTACTTGACCAAAATGATGTCTTTGATGAGCTAATTAAATATTTTTCTTTAACTTTACAATTTATGCATGAACAATAATTGCACCGATGTCTTTTGGATCCAAGTTCTGAATTTAAATCTAGCTGTCAGATAAAAATCTAATTAAACAGTTGCTAGGTGAAGTTAACACCAGGGGTCAAATGTAATGGTGCTTTATTTTAAAAGCATGCTTAAGTTTATAATGCTACTGCTACTGGATAAAATGGTTTTTTTCTTTGCTGAGCTGCAGTAAATTATTCTTGAAAGCTGTTTGCCTGGTACAGTATTTTTTCCAGCTTACCTAAAACATCCAACCTTTCAAAATGTAACAGGGATATTTACATTTGTTTATAAAGAATCACAACTCAACAACTCATAATGATAGTTCTGCCTGTCCTTACTGTCCCTAGATGATAATCATTGTGCAATCCTAGCCTTTTAAGGTGTTATCTAGCGGATTATTTTTTTCCCCACAGGGAAACAGACTAGGAAAGAGAAAGGAAACTGGGTAAAACAGCAAGGTTTTTTGTATGAAGTTAAAAGTTCCAGTTTGCTGCTGGTGTCTTTTGATACCCCCAGTTACTGACAGGGCATGTGCATGGCATTTTTCTGGTGTTCTCAGTTAGCCTGCAGCTTGCCCTGCAGTCCTTTTAAAAGTCCTCAAACAGATGTTAGGAGGAAAATGTAGACAGAGAAGAAGTAGAGCTGAGGTTAGGCCTCAGACCCAAGAGAAGGGACTCCTGCTGACCCTGAACTGACAAGCAGGGTTCGGCCAGAACGACAGGGTCCACTCCCAAACACAAGCAGACGTGTCTGCAGGCTGCCTTTGCAGGGATAGGCAGAGGAGACAGACTTCTGAGTACAGCAGCAGGATCTGGCAACAGTTCTCAACTGCCTGTTGACATTTGTAGCTGATCATATTTATGCGTTTTTAAAATAATCGTTTGTGGACTATTTAGTTGCCTTGGGTCTAGCTTTTCAATGTATAGAATATTTACCCTTAGCTGTCTGGTGAATTTTGAAGTATTGGGGCTATTGTATGAGAATAAGAGGGTTTTATTTGGGGGGAAAAGATGTGCAGAAAAAGATGTGGGAGGCATGTATTTTTGAGCCAAAGGAAAAAGGGAGAAAAAATGTATGAAGTACCAAGAGCGAGCCTAGAAATCTTGACCTAATTCTTGGCTGGTGACCAAGGGGATCATGAATTCAAATCCACAGGATTCATAGGTGCATAAGTTTTGCTAATGACTACTTAGTTGATGAGGAGGTATAGTCGAGGACTTACAATTGTGGAGAGAGCTGTATAATAGTGATGGTTGGCATATTTACACATCTGGGGTGGAAAGATGGGTAGTGTGAAGAGTTGGGTGGACCAGGAGAAACTCTGGCTAGCAAGGCAGTAGAGACTTAAAAAAACAAGAAAGTGATTTTATTTAGCCTAAATCTAAAGATGTGTATAACTTAATCACTAAAAGCCATGTCAACACTTCAACCACCAGCTACAGAACTGATACAGAACAATGCAACACTCTAAATTTGCCTCAACCAGTTGCTGCAAATTCAGAGCTGCCTGGCAGGCAGTACCCTTCCTGTGACAATGTACAGATTGGCCCTACAAGTCTTCAGATAAACAGATAGAAAATGTGCAGGATGTCTCTGTAGGGCAGTGTATCCTGATCATGACATGTAAAGTGAGTGGACAAGCCTGTGTGTGTTCTTGGTCAGTGGACAAATTGTTTTCACACCTACTTTTGAGAACACGTCAAGCTATATAACTGGCCTGGAAGTTTTAAAAATTAGGATGGCAATGTTGTGACCTAGGAGCACCTTAAATACAGATAGCATTGTTTAAACTACTCTGAATGCCAAAGGCTGACACCTTTCCACTCATTAACATACCAGGGAGTACTTGCAATCCTGAATCCTTCTGGGGAATGCCACTCTTTTGGAAATTGATTTTATAATGTGGGGCAGTTTATATATAATCACCATTCCTTCATGTTCTTGTTTGGATAAGAGAAATCAGAAATAAACCTAGTTTTACACAAACTAGCAAAAAGGAAAAAACACTTGTTTATCATTACCGACTTATTGCACACCCACTACCCCAGACAGAACTATACATGTACTACAGCCACTGCAAATCTTGATAATATTGTTGCAATCCATGACAGGAGTACACACATGGCAGTTAACCAGAAAAGTCCATGCCTGCATGGACCTACAAAACAAGGTGCTAAATACACTTAACTAATCCAGTCACTTTAAATATAAGAAAAGAAACGTGTCATTGCTTTTAGATATCTTTTCTTCAGGAAAAAAAACACACAACAGTTTCCTTGCTGTGAAGTTGTATAATGAGATGCTAATGAAATGAAATGTCCGAAGGATCAAGCTTGAGAAGGGTACATGTTGACATTTATAGTTTCCATGGAAGGCATTTGGATTCAAGATAATTTAAATGGCTGCCCTTCACCACCAATAAAAGTAGGATTAGGTAACAAGGGTTGTCCCCTTAAATAAAAGGACAACCTCTGACATCTAGCTGATCTTTTTTATTTCAGACCCCACTCTAAGCAATGAAACCAAGAAAAATTTAAAGAGTTAAACAACAGCTTTTCAGATCACGAGATCAGTGACTATTCAAATGTCATTGTGACTTGGGCTATCTGTGAGGCTTTGAAACGATCTGACATCCCAGTTCAATCGGATAACAAGTGCTTTATTTCTTCATCCTGTCTGTATCAGCTGGCACCTTGAAGTTTGAATTTAGTGCCTGGGACTGTAAGGGCCAAAGACTTCATTCAACCTCTTTTTGAAAAAGCAGAGCAGCAGTTCCTCAAGGAGCTTATTGTTTAAAAAGAGATAAGAAACCAACCCTTGAAGACTTGTGATCAGTCTGCCAAGAGGCAAAGGAAGTGCTCCTGGAGAGGGAGTAGGAAGCATCCCACTCCTTTAGCTGAGAGAAAGGTGGAGGCCCCACTGAGTAGCTGGTATTTAATAGAGCCCTGAGGGAGGGAGTGAAATCTACAGGTGGAAACAGGACCAGGAGGAGGCCTAGGCAGAGAGTACCATGACAAAAGTTCATGTTGATATGAAGTGGTCACTGGAGGAGTTCCAAGAACAGCAGGTGTTAGGTGGAGCTGGACAGCAAAGGGCGAGTTTTCTTCTCAGGGGTTCAGACTCTGTTACATGTACATTTGTTCTTATTAATATGTTGGCCATTTTACTTGAAATGCAGTGAGATTTGATGCTTTTTTCTCTTTAAATTTATGAAAATAAATTAACATAATAGAAAAATTCCATTAGCATCTGCCCAGATTTATGGTCCAGATTATAAGCATATCAGAGGTTACAGAGGTTAATGGATGGGAGAGGGTCTTGGATACCTGAATACGAAGGTTTTCTGAGGGGGGAAGCTGTGAGATACGTGCTTAGAAAGATAAGATAAAATGCAGTATGTGGGAAGGATAGGGAGAAGAGAGGACCACCTGCAAATTACCATTACTGACTCAGTGGTAATGGTGAGAAGGACTGTGGCTAAAAATGCTCACATGGGCTTCCGGAGACATTCAAAGGGTTTGATATTCCATGAACATCCCATAGTCTGGGGAGACTGACCTGAAAAAAGGTATGCATTTTATGATTTTTAGAAAATGGTATCTCATCTTTTTATTAAGTTTTCCTTAATCCAATATTTATTTCCTGAGCACACACAAACAGATCTGGCAAAGGCAAGACATGCAAGTGCTGCTGATGGGGGAAGCTGGTCAGGATTAAAACACTCTGTGAGTAACTATGGGCTCCCTTTATACTTAAACCAAATGTCTTTTTTTTTTTTTTTAATCATTAACACTTAGGATGAAGGTGGTGGTGTCAAAGTCTTTTAAAGTAATTTTCTTGTCCAGATTTTAGTACTTATCTGAAAAAAAAAAAGATTTCACTGTTCATTTAAAAGCAATCTTGAACATTTTCTAAGAATTTTTTTTTTAGCAAAAAGGCACATTTTGCTTTTACAGTTATATTTTATATTTTAGATGCCTTTTAAATATTTCGGTATGGTAGTGGTTAAGTGATTAAATGTATTTCTTTTTTTTTTTTTTGCACCTTACTTATATCTGATGTTTCCTTTAATTTAAACATGCTGCTAAGTTTTCCCAATTTGTAAATTATTGATTAGTTGATCGTGGGTTTAAAATCAAGCAGGCTCTTCCTGGGATTTCAATCAATCCTAGGCAAAACTGTAAAATACATGGCAAATGTTTCTGGCTCATCTCCTGACCTTCTTATATCTCTCACCATCTTCCATCCTCCCCAGGACTCTCCTTTGGACCATCTGCTAATGATACCTCTTGTTTACCATCCACAGAGTCCTAACAACCTCTCATCTCCTGCAAGACCATTCTCTACTTCTTTCTCTTCTTCAAGTTGGAACAGTTATCATAGACAAATTCCTACTAATGTACTCATGTGTCACTGTACTATGTAAAATATTGTTATTTAATAGGAACCTTTGATGATATGACAGAAAAAGAAATGATTTAATAGGAACTTAGGCAGCCTGGTATGCACAGAAGGAGAAGACTTATAATTTACAAAGAGCTACAGTTTTCAAAAAAGCTTTGACTTCTATTTTCTCATCAGTTTGGTATCTGGAAACAGTTGGTGATGAAGGGATTGGAGAATACATATTTACATTTTAGCAAGTTCTTCAAAATGTAATCTGGCTGCAAAGAGGGTTAACCTTATCACTACATTTTACTTTCTAATCAGCATAGGGTGGTAAAATTACACATTAATAATGATTTTTAAATCAATACAATACCTGACTTCTGTGTAGAGAAGCCAGGCCCCAAATTCACTTATAGGGACACTGAAGAGGAAGATGAGGCTGATTATCAGAATCAGAATGACTGAGTTATTTGCTAGTCATGGTGTATGACCCCAAATGAATCGTGTATCTGCCCTAAAACCTGAGTCATTGGGAAAACATAGGTAGTATAAGAAGAGATCATGACAATCTGCCTTGTATGAAGGAAAAGGCAGGAAAAGACTGCTCCCTGGGTGTCAAGATGGTTCCCATCAACCAAAGGCCAGAGGTAGGAAGGGAGGGACAGAATAAGTCAGTCAGCTTGTGGCCAGAGGTATCTTTTTCACAGACACAAATTATTCCACATCTAGTTGTTCATTTTTCTTATTAAACTGAACTAGACTAGAAATATTTATGTTGTATATTTACATATAGGTAGTGATCTTATCTTTTCCTCTATTTCCTTTCCTTCTTAGTATTTTCATTAAAAACTTTCTGAAAATATGTATTTGTCTCAGTTGTGTTAAAGACAAAGAACCCTGATCTCTTTCAGGCTGGAGATAAAATGGATATAGAATGGGGATTCTATTTAAAACAGCTATAATATCAGGGACCAAAAGGGGTTCTTTATTAGGACATGGAAATATAAGCAGGTATATGGTAGGATGACTCAGGTACATATTCCTCAACTGCGACATGGCCCTCACTTGACCTAGGGCTTGGAGACATTTATACCATTATATCCAGTTTGGGTATTCTGGGTGGGTACAAATGGACCTAGTTGGAAGGCCCTAGAGCTAAAAAGTGCTGTTTGAGTTCTAGTCAATCTTTTCTTCCCCTCTTCCTAATCCTCACCCCTAGTTGCCCACTGAAAAGCATCAACTAGGCTTTGAGGCTACTGACACACAAGCAAGCCAAAGTTAAATCCAATTCACTAATGTCTTTTATATTCCTAATCTCATCTTTTAAAAGTACAAACTTTATCTTAATCTCACTTCAACATAAAAATGAATTATAACTGATAATATGTTGCAATTATTTCAGCTTTTTTAAAAAAAATTAAAGAGTCATTGAGTATTCCAAAGGATCTGTTCTCCCCAAATTGGTGAATCCTTCCTCCTAGGTACTGCAATACCCTTTAGAAGCTGTTTTTTTTTTTTTTAAATTGCGATTTTATTGACTTTGAAGTATCAATACACATGTAGGCCGTTACCATGATTACTAGTGTTGCCCTTTAAGGCAACAACTAATAACTGTAAGTCAACTAAAGAAATAGTTTGTTAATGCTTCATATCATAATCTCTGTTTTTATTTGGCTTCTTTTTTCACTGAACATAATTTCTTTTGAATCCATGCTAATTTCTATAGCTCAGTACTCTGTATTTTTTCTTGCAAATTCATAAATATGTCATGTTGTTTTATATATGACATCTAATACAGATACTTTCCTTTATAAAATCTGGTTTAAATAGATTTAGTTCGATATCAGAAGGTTTTAATAGGGTTGGTGTATACTTTATATGCCTTAAAAGTAAACATTAATATTTGTATACTTCCGTTTTTCTACCAGTAAAATGGAAATGGTGATAATGCAATTTTTCCTTCTTTTCCTCTTTACCAAATGGTCATAGAAAGGCATTTGAAAAGGCTTTTTGAAAAATGCAGTAAAAAATAAAATAAAAATGCAGTCAATCATTTCCTTCCCCTATCTCCATCCCCTAGATGCTTCCCAGGGTCAAATATTGAATCTTGTCACTGTTTTCTGAAGAAAAAGGAAGCAGCAACAGTAGGTTGATGGCTTGCCATCTGAGACACCTCCCTTTTCCCTTAACCTGGGAAAGAGAAAACAAAGAAACATTCCCTCAGTCTTAAGTAAAACAATACTTCATCTTTCTTCTTGGTATACTTTCCAAAGAAGATGAATGTCTGTGAGAAGACTTCATTAGAGCATCTTGAGACATAAAGACATTTCTATTTTCATTCATAGTTTAGTCATGTCTCCAAAGACCCATACTCCAATAGCAGTAAAATGGAGGCCACAGTCTAGAGTCTAGAACTCAATGCACCCCCAAAAAGTTTCCATATCAAGCACTTTTTCTAGCTTTAGTTTCCCTGTGCTGGGGCTGCAGAAGTCCTTGCTTGCATGGTGCTTGTAACAGAGTGCCTGTTGTAGTATCTTTAGTCACAGTTCTGGCACATAGCTGGTGTTCATTCAATGGCATCATTATAAGAATGATGTGCAAGTTATATTGTTGGAGGAAAGCTAGAAGAGACTTGGCAGGAAGAGGCTGTGTTTGGATGTCAAGTTGGCTACATAGCCCGAGGTCAAAATTACCTTCAGGCTTTTCATCTGGTACTCTGCTGGCATTCCCTGCCCCGCCTTCCTGGCCCTCGGTTGTTGCTCTGAGGACAATCTGGTCATTTCATGTGAGAGTAAAATACTCTTTCCTGTATTGAACAGAATGAAGCATCTGTGCTGAAACATTTAGAGATCCTCTTCTCTCTGAATGAGATGACTGTTAGCCTAGAAAATAAGGTTGTTATTTGATGGTTATTCCCTTTCCTTCCTTTTATTTCTTTCAGTACATCATTCAGCCTCTCCAAAGCACAGCCATCATGACCTCAGCAGGCTGATGATGGAAGAAAAGAAAACTGAGAGATCCTGTGTTCTGGCTTCACTGGATAATGGATGGAGGACAACCTGTCCCTTCAACTCTAGCACCCTTTGGGAACACATCAACAGACTCTAGCATGTCTCTGGAGCAGAAAACCACATTTGTTTTTGTGATTTTGTTGTTTATTTTCTTGGGCATTCTCATTGTCAGGTGCTTCCGGATTCTTCTAGACCCATATAGGAGCATGCCAACCTCGACCTGGGCTGATGGACTTGAAGGTCTGGAGAAAGGGCAATTTGACCATGCCCTTGCTTAGAAAGGAGGGGGCAGGATCTCCTCCTGAGAAGGTGAAGTCATTTTTGTCTTGGCATAGAATTCCTTTTATCAATGATCTTAACAAATCAATTTTTAATATCTGGCCCAAGGACTACTCCCATTATTCTGTAAAGGTGTAGTTGGGTTAAAGACATTTGAGAAGATTGGAAATGGAGGTTTATATTACTAACCCAAAATAGGGAGGTTTAAATTTTTATGCTCACTGAGTGAATGAATACTACTGAATGTATGTATCAGCACTGACAGAGACCTTTCCATCATAAGAACTATCCCATGACTTGGCCCAAGAATAAAAGACTAGAAAGGATGTGATCCAAAACTGGTGGCAAGGCAAAGAAGCGGCTTCCGTATGCTGATTGTACCTCAGTCTGTTTTATTTTCATGATCATCTGGGTCCTGGATGGAGAATGAGGAAGATTGTGTTGAATGGACCCAAAACAGATCTTTACTATTTCTTAAAACAAGGAGAATGGAGAGGCAGTAAGAAGATTAAAAGAGATGGTTCCAGCTCTGGAAAATATGAGTGATAATGATACTTTATTTTGCATGTGAAACTACATTTAAAGGCTTAGAGAGCTTTTAAAACTGTTTACCAGGCCAAGTACATTCTATGTATTCATATCAGTAACAGATGCAGAGGTAGCTACGCATAACCTGAACTTGCTTTCTTTACACAAATGATTGAAATGATAGTTTGCAAATTTCTGTTTCAAGTTGCTCTTATTTTTTTTAAACAAAAATTTAATTGTTTAGAGGAGAAGACTTTTATAGTCTTAAGAGGAATGTGTGCTTATGGTTGAATATAGAAATCAAATAAAAAGTTTCAAGATACAGAAGTGTCTCTTTTCTTATTTTACTAACAGGAAAACCCTGAAGCCCTAATGTTACACCTCAGGAGGCTTAGCAATTGCGGGACTGGAGGAGGGTGGAGAGAAGAAGGGAGAAGTGGAGGAGTGAGAAAGAATATGATTATGAGCAAAGACCATGAAAGGTCACAAAATTCATCTCTCTCTCATTTCAGCAAGAGCTAACATAAACTGTCTTATACACAGAAAACCTATTTTAAGCACTATTTAAGGCCACTAAAAAGATGTAGGAATCTATTAATTCAGTTTCTATTGGTAGCAAAACTTGGTATCTAAACTAAACCACGTAGGCTTTACTTATAGTCTATCTCCTCTAATTTTCTCCTCAGCTAGCCATCATCCCTTTGATTAAAAAAGTCAACTGTGCCCTAAGAAGACATCCCTTAGAAATGTCACTTTGTAGTCTTCTTTCATTTAAAAGAAAAAATTCTTTGGAAGTCCTGCTGCCCAGATTTCCCTTCTCTCCAGTTTTCTTGATATTTCTCTTTCTTAAAAAAAAAAATAGTTTTACTGAAATATAATGCACATACTATACAATCTAACTTTTTAAAGTGTATAGTTCTGGTGTTTTTATTAAATTCACAGAATTGAGCAACCACCACCCATCTAACTCCATAATTCTATACTCTCTAGTAGTCACTATCCGCCCTGCTTCCTTCCACTTCCAGGCAACCTCAAAGATACTTTCTGCATCTACAAATTTACCAATGTAGGACATTTAAATAAGAGGAATCACAGATGATATAGTCTTTTACGTATGATTTTTTTTTTTACTTAACTTGTTTTCAAGGTAGATTTGTGCATATCACAGGACATGAGCAGAACTTTCTGTGTAGGGCTAAACAACATTCCATTGTTTTCTATACCACATTTTGTCTACCCATGGGTTAGTACAAAGAATGCTACTATGAACATTTGGGTGCACTTTTTTTTTATGGCTATGTATATTCAGTTCCCTGGAGTAAACTCCTTGTAGCATTTGCCAAGTCATATGCTACTTCTGTGTTTAACTGTTTGAAGAACTAGGAGACTTTCTCAAAGTTGGTGCATCATTATACATTCCTAGCTACAGTGCATAAAAGTTTTGATTCTTAACTCTCTCCAATGATTTAAATTTCTTACATAACTGTAGAATTTATGATTGAACATATCACCTTAAGAACATATAACCTCAGATTAAAAGAGGGATTCCTTCAACATCTGTTGATTCTATACCTAAAGCAACACTGAATACTGATATTGACTTATGATCTATTAAGTCACCTGAGTGTTTTTTTCTCTTACTAATACATATTTCCTCACCCCCCTAATTTTAAGTTTTATTATTTATTTTTTTAAATAATTTTAAAAGAAGATTTTATTTATGCATTCAGAACTGGAGTACAGGCCAGAGGTGCAGGGACAGTGGGAGGATTCATCAAAGGCAGAGTGGGGAGCAGAATAGGCAGACTGATGAAGTACACTGCTCAGGAGAGCAGCTGGTGATTCAGGAAAGGTCTGCTGCACTATGTGGGTCACCTCCCTGACCAGGGATTGAACTCCTCTGAAACAGAGGTGGCTAATTTTGTAGTGCTGCACTTTAATCTGTTTTGCCACTAGGGAGGGCTTATTTTTATTATTTCTGCAAATGTTCCATGTCATGTGTGTCATTATTTTATCTCATTTTATGGGAGTGTATTCAAACCCACTCTAATATTTATTGAGTTCCTATTTTAAGCTTGGCATTTCCAGTACTGGAGAACAACAGGGCTAGTTCTTGTTCTTGAATACCTTTCTGCCATGTTAGAGAACCATGAAAGGCATGTGTCTGGATCATTGTTCAAATAACTGCTATGGACCTATGATTGTCGTAGCGTAAAATTGTGTGGGAACTTCATACACACTCACACATACACACACTTCACTCTAAAAAATACAGAAAAAATATAAAATAAGTAAAAAAGGGCAAAATTCTGCATCCTTCAGTCACTGTCAGGATATAGTTTCTCATGGAAACTTCTTGACATTGTGGCTTATAGCTTTTCATTCCTAGAGGTTACTTCTGTAAAGTCAGGTTAGTGAACAAATACTTCACACTATAGAATACAGGGAGAAGGGTATGGGCCAAAATACTTAAAGAAGTATCTCAGGAAATGATAGCTCAGCGTGAAGTGTATGTTCAAGAGCTTGGTATAAAGGTTTACGCAACATCCATTATCATTATTAAAAAATAATACCCTTGACCTAAAAAGGTTGATGTGCTTTAGATATATGCAAAGGAAGGGAGGAGGGAAAACCATAAAATTAGGTAAGAAAGCAGCCTGGCTGAAGAGTGAAGGGGTGGGGTGGCTGGAGCACATGAAGGAAGGATAACAATGGGCCTCAATTATCAGTTGGTTCTAAATGGCAAAGTGACATGTGGGAGTCATTATAGATTCATGAAGAGCAGCTGTCAATTCCAGTCTCTGTTCCATACTCCCTGCAGTGGGAGGATCATCTTCTGTAATGGGAATAGCCACCTGTGTCTAAGAGGCTCCCTGACAAAGATTGCAAGCAAGTGCCACAGGGCCTCTCTGAGCTTGCTCTTCTTTCTTTTCTCCTTCTATTCCTTGCTCTATTTTTGTTTTATCTTCTCAGATTACTGTTCCTTGTTCAACCTTCCCTCACTGACTCCCCACTTTCCATCCCTCCCATGTCAAGAGCAAGAATAGCACAAGTGATAAAGAACTTTGGGCTATTAAGAGTAAACTGATCCCTCCCTTGAGCAAGGCTAACTCTGCCTCTGCTTTAATTACTACAGGCTCCTTGGGGTGAATAGCACATTCTTGAAAGGTCATATCATCCCCTTTCCCTATCTTTCTGACTTCAGAGTAACAGTGCAGCATTTTGTGTACCTTACGAGATATTCATAACAAGTGCAGTGACTCTTTATCATGAACATCTGCATCCCAGGATGAAAAAAAAATTACTTTCCCAAGGTCATTCTAGCATTGAGCTTATTTTTGATTCAGAAAAATGTGGCAAATTCATTCTCTTTTCTGAATCACACCACTAGTGGTTTATGCCCCCAAAAGACCCCAAGTTCTAGATCAACACTGTTCTCTCCATGAGACATTTTTTAAAACATCTTAAACACCGAATAAAGTAAATTTAACATGGAATGTAAGGAGATTAACTCAACTCCTGCTGTTAAACTAATGAACATTCCAAGCCAGATCAATCTTTTACCATTTTCAAGGGTTAAAGCTGAAATTAAATAAGCAACATTTTAGGAGGCAGAAGTTAGACCAAATATTTATACATATAAAAAAAAAGTATTCCGTTTCCTTTTTAAAACTGGATTAATTTCACAATGTCTTAGTGAAACACTGAAGCTCTTATAGTGTAAATATATTGATAAATTTGGTGTAATGTGAAACCTTTTATTTTTGCCCACCATAGATAAATTTTTAAGACCTTGTAATGCCAAAAAGTCAACTTTCAGAATTGAAATGCAGCACACATTGAAACACAATCATTTTCAATAAGATATTTTAAATTCCAAAGCCTTGGATAAAATCTAAGACGTGACTTATGAGATGTATGTCTTCTGAGAAAAATTATGCAAGGAGATGTCTCAATTATTAATCACAAAGTTGTAGAGTAGGGTGATGATCTCCATAAAAAGTGTCCAACACTACACATTTTCCCAGTATCTGAAAGTAGAGTGTTCCTATGACACCATTTGTAAGCCCAAAATAATGTAAAAAAACAATTACCGTTAATTTATATGGGAGAAATTTGGAGACTCAAAAATTAACCTACCGAATCATACCAAATAACACATGAAACTTAAAATAACACTATATGGTAAAAGCAGGAAAGATTCAATAAATTCATAGCCTGTGTAAGAGCATGGTTTCAGTTACCATAACTGGAGCAACAGCAAGCACAGCGGAAGTTCAAGGGGTGATGATGTTGGCTAAAAGAATTTACTGGAGGTTGGGATGATGCTCATTTCACCACCATCACAATGCTTACTTACATCCAGTTTTATGCTGACTATAACCACCTTATTCTCTTAGGCTTTTCTGATAGTTCGAGACATCTTTTCCTAACAGGTACATAAAATAAATTCAGGTAACATGGATACATAGCTGAAAGCAATGGTGGCTTGATGCCAAGATGCTGAGTGTGCTCCCTAGGCATGAGCCTGGCAGGGGTCACTCTTGCTGTGCAAGGTGAGTTCTGACTCTTTAAAATTGGCTGCCTTAAAACAAACAACAAATTCTGGATACTCTTTGCTTTTTGCCTTTTATGGTAAAAGAAAAAAATTGTATAAAAGAAAAACAAATCTATTTGTGTACATACAATCTGGGATTAAACTGGTTTATGCCAACATAGATGAACAATATTGCTTTGATAAATGTCATTTGGTTGTAACATTGATGAGGAAAAAGAAATCTTGGCTGACAGTGAACTAAATGATATTATTCAAGGGCCTAGTTTCATGATATATTATTTTGCCTAAACTTGCAGTGTCCAAGAACCTATTGATAATGTTAAGCAAGGAATTACTATATTTACTTGTTTTGAGATGCAAAATTGTGTTCCTCCTGTTTGTTAAATAAATAAATTAATAATTTCAATATAGATGACTACTTACTCAGAAGCATCCTACAGCATCTCATCCTATAAAATCCTACAGTTGGCTTAGGCCTGATGAGCCAGGACCCAATACTTCAGTCAGTCTGGGGTCTTTTCCACAATCATTTTTCAGAACAGTGTTCTCCACTGAACCTCAATTTAGTATAGAGTGGATATTTTGTTTGCAATCTCCACTGAACCTCAATTTAGTATAGAGTGGATATTTTGTTTGCAATTTCCTGCTATAAACTACTCTCAGGTCTTGCCAAAAAATCACCATAAGCTACTCTTATATCCCTATAACCCACAGCCTTCCCCA